TCCAACTCTCAGCAACCTTCTTGTCAATGGCAAAGCATTCGATGACAAAGGAGGGTGTTGAGCGTTTTGAAGTGATCATTTCTTGATCGATAAAAGACGGAACTTTCCGTAAAATAAACGTTAGCTGTCACGACGATTAGCTGAAGAAGTAATATTAGCACCAGGTTTTATTCATCTCAACAGTAACTCATTGCACGTGCGAAACAGCATCTACGAGCCAAAAATGATCGGTCTAGTATTATGATTGTACAAATATGATCGTACTCATTTATAATCGGAAGTCTTCGCTAAAAGTTCTAACAATGTTTATATACATATTTTTACTTTTTCTTACATATTCTATAGGCTTTCATTTATCATGTCGATCGGTATCTTCACAAAAATGTTAAAGTTAATAAGTGAATATTTTTTATTGATTCTTTTTGTTCAGGTTAATTATCAACTAATTGGACAGCACTGTAATTTGTGGCGTAATTTTGACGACATAAAGCGTTCCTGGGCTTCCGTGAGAACTATCATTGATTACTACGATCATCACCAAGACAAACACATTCCTGCACAAGGTCCTGGGAGATGGCATGATCCTGATATGGTACGTTCCTCATAAAACTATAAGGGGTGTTAACATTTCAAACTTGATTAACTTGCTCAGTATACAAAACAAATATGGTTACGATTCGATTATAATGAAATAACATATCATTTTAGAAGCTACCGTAATTTCTAAATTTGAAAAATTAATACGAACACATATCAAAATAAAACGAATCCAATTTTTCTTGCGTAGAACCAAATTAATTTTCCTTTATATTCATATTATCATTCAAATATAAGATCCAAAAAAAAAAAAGATTCTAGGACAGCTGAAAATGACAGCAAATTCTTAAACTTTCAGATAATTGTAGGAAATACGGAATTAACCGTGGATCAAGCAAAAGTGCAAATGTCTATTTGGTCAGTTTGGTCTTCACCGCTAATTATGTCCAATGACTTAAGACTAATCGCTCCCGTTTTCCGAGATATTTTATTAAATAGACGAGTTATTGCCGTTGACCAGGATCCACTTGGCATCATGGGACGATTGGTTGCTAATGTTAGTATAATTTATTGAAACATAATTCATGCATGATTCATATCCACAAATTTCTTTCACTTATCTGTCACTCATCCACTTAATTCCACTTTCTTCTTTTTTCATTTTTCAAAATATCAATTTTTTCCACCAAAAGTTTTATGATATAATTTTCCAAGTATCGTTAACATAGATGTTATACAAGTAAGTTTGTCATATAATAATAATAATTAATAATAATGATGATAATTAATAATAATAATTAATAATAATAATAACTAATAATAATAAATAATAATAATTAATAATAATAATTAATAATAATAATAATAAAATCGTATTTATATTTATTATTTTCAGTTAATCTTCAGTTAACTTAATAATTAAGAAATTGTAGAGGATATTTTTTGCTATTTTCTCTTTTATTATAATCAACAATTTTAGACGACCGATACTGGAATTTACGTAAAACCCGTAATTCCAGCGGCACCCTCAGCTCACCGATACTCTTATGCTGTAGCTATTTTCAATCGTAATCTGAATCAAAGGATGGTTTGTTTTCTTTTTTTCCTCTCTCAATAAAAGTTTCATATACTTCTGCACTTCGAAACTGAGGCTTCTATGTGATGCATTTTTTGAGAATCATGACATAACTTGCTTCAGACATAATATACAAGCACTGTTACACATTTCTTGAAATTATCTTTTGGATCTGGTTTTTATAAGAGAGGGAGACGTTTGATCTTAATGATATATTGAAAGTATTAAATAAAAAAGAAATGGACAAGTATAGCCTACTTTAATGTAACTTTTATTCCCTTTTACTGGGATACCAATTGAGATTCAATATCAACTAAAATTTTTCCAAAAAAATCAAATTTTAATTGCAAAAAGAATTCACGTATATTTTAGAATTACCGTAAAAGCATCAACCCATAATTTGCTTCATCTGTCGTGAATTCTTGAATTTAATCTAATTCTTCAGAACTACAACATTTCGCCCGATTTAAATATTTATTGCAGAATGTTCGCTTTCTGCTATCAAAAATTGGACTCACCAACTCTGGTGGTTATTTAGTTCAAGATTTATGGAGCGGTGAACTGAAAGGCCTTCTAAAGCCTAACGATTTTTATTCTGTAGACGTGAATCCCACTGGTATTGATTTTTTCAAAGCAACGTTGCCAGATTTGTAGAATGGAGTTTTAATCTAGGTTAGATATGAATAAATAATGAGTCAAGTGTCAATGAGTCAAGTCTCCAATCAATCAAGTGCACTTGAAGTTTCAAATCTGAAACCAAGAACTAAAATATTTTCTCGATCAGGAACTTAAGAAAGTATACAAAACGTTCTATACTTGCACGAATATATGAAAGCGTTTCTTGGATAGGCAAAATATCTTAGATACATTTAATTAAAGATAGATGAAGGGCAGAAGGAAGGACAAAATTGTATGAGAGGCATGCTATTCTCATTTTATATCCTTTCCTCTTCTTTAGCTTCAAAATTCACTTAATGTTAAGATTACCTGTACTTTTCCGATGCTCGAAAACAACATTTTGTACTGGTTAATGTTTACATTGTTTTATAATTTTCTTCTATGATTCAGTGAAACTTATTGATAGAAAGACAACCACAATTTGTACTAAACAAAATCTTCAGCACTGAACAGTTCATATCAAGAGAGACGATTTCGAAACGAATCAAAAAACCGTTCATCTAAAAATGAAAATGTTTACAATATATAGCAGAAATATTTGCAAATATATTCTACTTAAGTAGTCAATAACGCATATGATCGATTAAAGTTAGAAGCATGAGTGATATCACTGAATCACTCAATTGTCGCATCAATTGTCGCAATTAGCAAACGATCAAATCCATATGAATCATCAGTCCGGACCTTCTGTTTCACAAATGGTTTATGCAATGCTATCTATACGTCACTTAAGATGAAAGAGGTGATGGATGGGACTTGCTGTTAGTGATTTGAAAAATAATGAGTTGAGGTTGGATAGGACAGAAATGGACACTAAGGGGAAGAGTAATTATTATATGGTCAGGTAGTCGCGCAAAAAAGAATGTGGTGTAAGGTGAGACAAGAGAGATAGATGGAAGGATCTGTAGTAAAATGAAATTGAGTGTGCTGAGTCCATCGGATTTCGCGCTGAAGTATTTACTGAAGCTAAATTACAGAGAGAACGCTGCGTCAGGAAAGTTCTCACAGCAAGTTTAAATTCAAATGTTACTGACTACATCTCCTAAATACCACATTTTCACTTATTCGTCAAACACCTGTTAAGTGCTCTGTAGACTTACCTTCGTAATGAACCAAACTTTTGTTAGTTGTTGTAAAATGTTACAACTATTGTCTTATAAAGTAGCCATTGTTCTTAATTCGTTTTTTAGCAACTGTTGAGCAAATAAAAATGTGTAGTCTTCAAACAGTCAGTTTTATCATTCATTTTTGCTTTTGAAAACATTATGTTCAATGCATTACCTATGGAACTAGTATTTTCCTGAACTGTTTCATTTTTATTTCTCAACATAATATCAAAATTAGGTCAGTCCTCTATAATTATTTTGAGCAGGAAAATGTTTTGGTTGACAGCTAGGAACTACCAGTTGTAGAAATTTTATAGCATATCATGCTCGATTTCTCCACAAAAAGACGCAAATGACATTTTCGTGGAAGCGGATGATTCTGTGTTCAATTTATCATCGACAGTTGTTTTGTGGTAATACTATCTGTGCTGAAAAAGTACAGTCCTTCAAAATGGTATTGCTTCATTCTTGCCAGTTCACTGTATTTTTGTACTGAAAATTTCTTGTCCATAGAATTTCTTTAATTACTATTTAGCATACATCATTTTATGCTTACAATTAGATTCATGTTTAGAAGGTGGAACTTCCAATTTGGGAAATCATACATCCAAAAATTTGATAATTTACTTGATCAGAGGTATCAGGTCTTCGATATTATAAGTGATTGAACCTCTGTAACTTCATTTTAGGGTTTTTTAGACTGTGAAGGATTTTTGCTCTTAGCAAACTACATAAATGTTCCAATAGTCATATTCAGCCAAAATAAAATTGAATTGCTGAAGCAGAATTCTCTTCTTCGCAATAGAATTCCTTGCTTTTGTGATAGGACCGAAAACTCTTTATTCAAAAGTTTTTTTGCAAATAACTGTTGTATATGTAATAGTTCTTTATGTAATTTAGTTGCAGAAATTTGGCTATGGGTTTTTATTTTCGTCTCATCATATGATATTTTGAAATTTGAAATTTCCATTTTTCTAATGTTTAGTCACAGTTTTTCCAGTGGATTAGCCAGAGTGAATTTCTTTAGGCTGATTGAAATTAGAGCTCATTTCATCTCTAAAATGTTACCAAATACTTCATTTATTTCAGACCAGATAATGATTCCACTTTTTACCTCCGATCACTCGTGATGGTGTTATTATGTTGCAGAATAATTTATTTCATTTTTTTCCCATATTTTTATGTATTTTAATTTTTGTCTGTTTTCCAGTACTTTGGATTTTCATTTCGTATTCACCCTAAAATATTCATTTTCGAACTAATTTTAACTACCTTTCTAATTTGTGGAATATGCTACATGCGATAAAGAATTGTTTTATGTGTGAGGATTATAGGTTTTGATTTTAACTCATTTTATTATTTGAAGCAAATAAATATGACTATATATAAATAATTCGGATTGGTGATGTGTGGTGATCGGATTTCGTTGGTATTCAGTCTTCTGATTTGAATAAATGAGTTTAGCATACTATTTCAATTAATCAAATTATATAGAGACGTTTTGCTAATGAATTTGTTGTACTGTTCCCTCTAGTTGTAAGAGTTATCGGAGAATTGTTAAATCTATCTATATATGTGTTCGGTATCCTAATTACAATTACGGAATGGGACCGAGTCCAGTGGAGCAGAATCCGTGGGAACGGCATGACAGTGACAGTGATGGTGAGGATTTTCTATTTGCTATTTGCGATCGGCTATGAATTCAGAAACTTTTTCATTTTTTCGCTTTTAACTTGCATGCAAGGTATGAGAATCTATCATGGTTTCTTCTAAGTTTCTTTCTGAGCTAGGGGAAAATATATGCTTCTCTGATTGATTTGCTTTACCCTTACTTCAGTTTCGACTGTTTTGCCTTTGTTCGTCTACTTGCTTATCTTGTAGAAATAATTTGCTAATTGTAAAACAGTGAAGTTAGAGTAAGTTTCAACTCCGGAACGTAAATGTGACACACTTACGTAATTATTAGCGAAATCACATTTTTTAAGGTTGTCAGGATAATAATGATGGTTGGCATATTGGTTACGAAGTTGAAATGCATGGCATTGGTGTGGAAGAGTATTCAAGTAGCGGAGGTACATGTGATTTTCATTCTTAAGTGGATTTTCTTGTCGAAAGTTTGTAGAAAGAGTTGCTGTGTGGTTTTATTGTTTGTAAAAAGCAAATGTAAGCCTAAGGATGAACTGAAAAATTGTTGTTGGCTTATTTAAAATAATAATCACAGATCTTAGTTTTGGAATTATTTAGTTTTATTTCTGTTGTCGTTGTTCAGTTAGTGGTAGATGACATTTTTAAATGTAAGATGAATTAGTTGTAGAAATTTAAAAGTATCCTTTTAAATTTCTACAACTAATTCAAATTCAGATTATTGGACTCATTTATTGTATTTCATCGCTGTTTTTATAGACGATATAAGTGATGCGAAATCGGATTCATGCGATGAAAGTTATGGGGATCGTTATGCTGGTTATCAAACTATTCCTACTTCAGATGGCGCATTCGGAACCGCGAATGCTATCCATGAACACACCAACGTAGGAGTTCAGGAGGATTTCGGAGAGGTTAGCCTACACTCGTTTTTGCATTTTTACCTTTATTACATTGATGGATGTAGCATTCCGGAAATTATTTGGTTTTCAGTCGTTATTTGAACAGTATTTTCAGGTTTTGAGTTCAGAACATAAAAATTTGTCCTTTGAATTTGATGTGACACAATCGATTGAATTGACTGAAGGTATATTTTAAGATATTAGTTCTAATGCTAACTGGCGTCCGTTATCAAGCAAAATTGAAAGCAGTCAGATGAATTAAATAGATAAAAGGAGTCAGATAAAGAAGCAGCGGATATATAATCGTCGTTATTGTTAACTAGAAGCACCAAAATAACATTAGCCCGATAGATTAAACTAGGGCGATTTGGAACTGCTCTGGTTTTTAACCAGAGTTACGTTTTTTTTTTTTTTTTTTTCATTTTACTTTCATTTTGTCAAAATTACGTTTTTTTCTAATTTCCAGTTCATTTTACTTTCAGATAAAATTGAAAACATTAAGAAGGCGATGTCAGCATTGACTCTTCCTGCTCCACCATGGGCAAAGGAAATTGACAGTGATAATGAATTGAAGAAACTACTAGAAAAACTGAAGTCTAAATGAACAGCATTGTAATCTCAAACTGTCTTTTTGATTTAATATTGACTCTTAGTAGATTCTTGTCACATGTCTGAAAAATCTATCTGTGTCTGAAATCTATCTTTTGTTTAAGTATAGTTTTGTTATTTCGCTTTTCTTATCCATGATGGGCTTGCATAATAACGAAATTTACTTGCATAATTTAAGTGCATTTTCAAATTTAGGCAAAACTTAACTTGAATTTGTTCCGCTTCACAAGCAATTTAAAGAAATGATTTTGTAAATTTCATATAATTTGTTCCATAGTTTGTAATTGGTTTAGTGAATAAAGAACTTTTTTAAAGTTTCATTCAAGTATTGGGCGTCAATTTCAATCAGTAGCTGTTATCCAGATTCAATTCAGAGTTTCAGGAGGTCGAATAAATTGGAAGTATGCTTTCAGTTGTTAGAATGGTGAAATTTGTGGTACAACGAAGCACTGTAAATGGACGAATCGGAAAAATTTTTTGCTGGGGTAATGTAAAAATAGAGCATGAAACACCATCATGCATGATGTATACACGTGCTGGTCATATTCCTCATTTGACGTGGGATGTAGTTGCTGTACATCTAAAATACCGACAGTCACCTATTTATCAACTGACTCTTCCTTCACTGTAAGTTTTTCTGGCATTGTTTTACGAAACTCTTTTAAATTTCCTTATTTTTTAAGTTGACTTTCTTTTCACATTCAACAATAAGAATCCAGTCTCTTGGTCGGTTTACGGTCAGTTAATAAGCCTGACAGCTGTACAAAGTCCAAAAGGGACTTTGAATTTTAGGAGTTTTATTTCTACTATGGATTTTATTTACAGTTTTGAAGCCTTGCCAGTTATAGAAAAATCTGGTGGAGGAATTGCTCGATTCGCTTCTATGCCAGTTAGTGTTTCTAATCATATTTGTACTTTATCAACACAATGTCGGGGATGGACAGATCCATCCGTTATTCTACAGCTGTATTATTCTTTTATTTTTCAGCTGGATAATATCAGGTTTTATGAAATTTTGGGTTTTAAAAAGATGAAGTATTGATGTAGTTGTGCAATAACAATAATGATTACAGTAACAATTCTTATAGGAAGGTGCACCAACTCATTTGACGTTAACGGATCCTTTGATGGAACGAAACATGAAATTCAACAACGGTGGAAATATTGCAATATGGACAAAAGGGGGACGACGAAATTTATGTTTCTTTTTACTTAGACCATGAGTTCATATGTCTGATTATTGAAGTACTGTTGAAGGTTAGAAAAAAGAGGAAAATCTTTTTGGTTTCTTTCAGGTTAGTATAGAAACAATCAAGAAATTACTAAGATTCAGTCATATATCGTCCTACGAAACGATGTTTGATTACGGTACTCCAGAGGGATGCTCCAATAAACGACTGGAAAAAGCATTAGAGCGAACAGTCAAGTTTTCGAGAGAATTGTTGCGCAGCGATTCTTTTGAGGTTCATTTCAGAATGTTTTATCTATGCAGTTTCTTTCTTTAATCTACGTTATCTATAATGTCATTTAAATAGAAGATAATATTTTGATTTTCGACTTACTAAATTAGAACCAACAAATTTTTCTGATGTCACATCTTCATTTAAGTTTGTAAACATAAAAACTGCATCGGCTGAATTCAGATACTTTATAAAAGAATATTGCATGTTAAATGATCACACTGTACAAGGTCTTTAGATTTCTTGTAATTATAGATCAAGATCATTGGTTGCTATGTATTTGTAGAGATTTTGTTTGGAAATTTCAGGGTTCAGCAGCATTAATTGCATTATGTGGTGGACATAGCCCATCCCATCATGAGCGCTGTGCATCTGCGATTGGTTCACTTCCAAAAGGCTGTGGTTTTGTTTTGGATCTAATGCAATTTGCGAAACGTCTTCGTGTGCTTCCAAAAAAAACGAAAGTAAAAAAAGTATCGAAAATGGGTTCTATTGACACGAATGTTCAATTAAAGTCTTCTCACTGTGAAGTATTGGAAAATATTAGTTCTTTGGATGTGGTTATTACAGAAAGTGAATTTGATAAGAATGTTATCAAAGATTTGCTAGCTGGCGTGTGGGTAAGTTACTTCTCATGTTATCTCAAAACTGCTGGATTTTGGGATAAGGGAAACAGTGATATTTTTTATTTTCATTTCTGGTTTCTCATGACTATACCCAATTTAACTATTTTAGCCTCACATATCGCCTTCTCACTTACGTCTAGTTAACGGAGCATTTTCACCAACAGAAGTTGTTGCTTTAGCGCATCTTGGTGTAGATTTATTCGACTCATCTTATGCTATATTTCTTGCTGAACAGGGAAAAGCATTTGTTTGTGGTGAAAATTTTCCAGAAGAGGCGACTTTCAGCGTGTTCGATTTCACTGATACATTGTAAGTGCGTTTGATAGAGTTTTGTAACATAAACAAGTAATTAAAATATTGTATGACTTTTTGTTCGTATAACATTTCCGGTTAGCAAATATCAACAGCGAATAGGTTATTCATATATTTCAAGGTATTAAAGCTTGCAATTCTTTTGATTTGATTTCTCTTATCAAATTTTTAATGGTAAAATTCGTTTGGTATTAGATACTTGCATCTGTTTTTTAAAAAATATTTATGGTTTGTTTTCTGCATATCTTTCAGGTATACAGAAGATTTTAGGCCTATTTGCAAAAGTTGCAAATGTTACACTTGTAGACATTACACAAGGAGTTATTTGCGACATTTAACAAATACAGTGGAGTTGCTAGGTCCAATGCTGCTCGTAATGTTGGTGTAAATCTTTTTTCTCAAAAATTTGTTTCTCACATACTTTTCTGTTTCGAAATTGAGGCTTTTATTTGGTACATTTTTTGAGAATCATTTGTTTCAGACATAACATACAAGAATATGAACGGATGTTCGCCTTGCTAAGGGAGAATTTATCTAGGAATTCAAATGCTAAAAGTGTCTGAACTGAATTTCATTTTTTGCTGTTTTTAACTATTTGTGGAATAAAACATTTCTTAAATAATAAGTCTTAGATCACTGCACATCACTTGCTATCTCGAGTAGTATCATTCTTTCAAAATGCGAATTCATGCTTCTTTGAGTGACATTTTATATGATTTAATACAATGTCTTCAGCTTTTATGTGCCAGAAACGACAAACTGAAAAAAACAGTTGGAGGAAGGAAACGATGAGAGATTTGCGTTTGGATAAGCGATTCGATTGGGTTGGACCGCCGGATGACATTTCGAAAATAAGACCTGTAAGGTTCGAGTTAGGTCATTTCTTAATTTGTGAAAATTCCAAGCAAATGAAGTCAATAACTCCCATTAATTTGAGTTAGGTCATTTTTTAATTTGTGGGAATTGTCAAGCAAATGAAATCATCAGCTTCCACTAAACAGCTTGTAGACTACTGAAATTCACACTCATAGTTATTTGGTTGATGTATCCAGCAATTTTGTAATGCTAAGGATGTGTTTAGAAGTCGTCATCAGTTTCTATCAGTGTTGGCTAAGACAAGAAATGGAAGACAAGAGAGAAGAGGGATGCTTTTTTGAAGGTTATTTAGAAATCATATATTTAAGATTGCGTCGATTAAGTAATGAAACAGAGCAGGAAAGAAAATACCGTGAAGCACGTGAAGCGTTGATTCAATGGAGCTCACAATTTTGGACACATCATAATATTTTGTTTGAAAAGAAAAAAGCAGAATTTGTTGAACAGGTTTATCTCTTGCACTGAAAATGTTTTCTGTGTTGTCGGTTATGAAATTCAACCAATTTTTTCAGTCATTTGGTAATTAAAAAAGTCGGACAACATATTTTATTTCACGCACATAGAAATTTGATAGATTTTTTCAGAGGAAGAAAAATCTTGGGAGATTAGAGCATTCAAATGCTCTTGATATGTCTGAATTCTACAAACAGTTTCTCGACGAACAATATAATAATCTCACGAATTACAACAGGTAAATTTTTTAAAAAAACGTTCTCGACAAATTCAGATGTGATGCTTTCCTGGCTGTTTAAATAGTTAACATTAGTGCATTACATTTTTTTTTCTTTTTGGTGTTTGAGAAAAACAAATGAAAAGGAGAATGCTCAGAATTTATCTTCCTTGCTTTTAGAGAATGGTATTATAGAAACATCAAGCTCTTTTGGCCTGCATTCAAAGTACAGCTTATCAGATTTCGACGAACGTTGCACAAATTCTTGCGTAAATGAAAGTTTTTCTAGCTTTAGTGAACGAAAGTTTCAGTATCGACTTATTTATAAGTGTAAACAGTGCTGAATTTAAAAAATGTCTGTTGGAAAGTCCAACTGGATTTCTTTCAAGTCATTAAATCATGTATGCATAGTTAAACTACGTTTGAAAAAAAAAAATTATGTGTTTTGAGAAAAAAGCAGTAAAAACTATGAAGAATGCTTACTTGTTTATTCTAAATATTTGTATGAGTACTAGACTGAGCCGTTAAATTCACAGAAACTTGGAGAATTAAGTCAAAATGAAGGATGAGGAAAGGTAGGTGGTTTCAAAGACGTTTTTAAGATAATTCAGATCAGATCAGGAAAGATAGCATGAAGAATCTTCTGTTGGAATTAATTTGAGCGTACAAACACACTCGATATCAGAAGTTAAAATTTTTTTCATTCAACAAGGAACAGAAAAGATTATTATGCTGTGAAATTTAATGTGAATAAATAAAGAGCAAGCTTCAATTTAAATGATTCCACGTTTTCGTTGTTCTGCTAATGAATAGCAGTAAAGTTCGCACTCTCGTTTAGTCCTCGGTGAACGCCACAGGTTAAAATCCAGTTCAGCACAGTATGGAAAAATATATGGTTCACATTGATCCGTATTTGAGAATCGATTCACCTGGAAATTATTTAAGGATGTTAAATGCAAGAGGTGATTGATTGTTAACTTATGGTAAGCTTCAGATTTTGTTTAATTTCGGGGTTTGAAGGGGAAAACGTTTATATTACTCTCCTAAGAATAATGGTATTTGTTTAAATCAGAAACATTTGGAGTTAGTTTGTAAGACTAGAAAGTGTTCCAAGCCTACGGCCTTTGGACCTCTCCAGTTTTATTTCTAGGATAAAAAATAGTATGAGATACTTGAATTTTCAGACAAATACGAAAATCTCAATGAACATTAAATTTCATAACTCCTGAGTGGAAATTTAGAAAGGAGTAAAAGGCCCTTTTACCGTTGAGATTTGAATTAGCATTTTCAATAACTGTAAAAATTTACTCTTCGAAACCATCGGTGTACTTTCTGTGCAGGGTCGCGACCATTGACAGTGACGTTTGGACATCCGTTAACAATTAGATCGTGCCATAGGATGAAGGGCATTGGATCGCATCCTCGAGCTGGTGAGCCAATAGGACAAGCACATAACTGAGATAGTTTTCACTTATACTTTTGATTTAACTTTATATGTATTTATATTTTTTTAAATGCAAGGATAGGATAGCATACTTAAATTATTGAGACTGCTAGCCGGAAGAAATTTTAATTTATAAAATGTCAAGAGTTAATAAAATTGTTCTGGTTCTGCACAGATGGATTAGTTTTATGATTCTTTTTATTCAACTAAGATGATAATAACTTTCTGAGTTGAAGATCTGTATCATGCTACACATTTGCTTTTCTTTTTTCGATTCTTGAAGATGTCTGGAAATTGAAAATGAGGATAAAACTAATGACTTCAATTAATTTTGATATTAAATGATATCACAGCAGCAATTTCCTTTCGATTATAGGAAAAGACGTTTCGCCGCATGCAAGAATGGTTTTTATCAGCATTTGAGACTACAGTAAGGAGAAGTCTTTTTTGCAAGATTTTGATTTTTTCAAAAAGGTTTCGATGCATTGCGAATAAGAGTAATTCAAAATTGTTCTTTCTTCAAAGTTGATATTAGAACCATGTGAGTTCTGGAATTGATATGATATATTATGTTTGAATTCTTCTGTTTTTTTTTTTTTTTTTAAATTTGCACACCTTTGAATTCCGTGAAGAGTTTTAATTTGAATTTCAATTAAATGATCCATAGAGGGAGTAGTAAATTTCAGATCACTGCACTACTGCAATCGTTTTTACTTGATTTCCTTCATTTTTCATATGATTTCTTGACGACTTCATAATAGCCGTCCTATCCACCTCCTCTGATTTTCCACTGTTTTCAACGCCTACCGATAAATCCATTTCTTATATCACATTTCGCATTTCAACAATATGAAGTCAGTGTGAACGAATTCGTTAAATTTAATTAGGTAATAAAAAATGCACTGCTCACAATTAAAATTTGATAACCACCTCGAATTCTCTTATAATTTCAGAGCTGCTATATAATTATCTTGGACACTAATAAATTTATATTTTCGAGTCATCCTATCGATCATAAGTAGCCTTGATCGTGTTTATCATGCAGAAACATTTTACATAAAGCTCATTCTCAAAATTGTTTTTCATTTATCGGTGGAATCTTCTTTTTTGATTATTACTTAAAATGGTTTGACATTTTGCATTTAAGTATTTATTTGTTAAGTTTATCTACTTACCATAAAATGATTCATCTATCATCATTTAATTCCATTTCTGGAATTAAAGTTGGTATCATTTCCATATTATACAGAAGGAAAAAGAGCACCCCATCATTCAGTCTTATCTTCCCATGAATTAGATCATTTTGTTACTTCTGTATGATCTATAAACCTCTTTCGCAGCTGCGCAAGCGTTACCAATATTAAGCAAAGCCTAGTAAAATTATTTACAGAACTTTAAAGTATGAAATCATAAATCAGTATGAAATCATAAGTGGTTCTAGTGGGTTTGGCATAGCTTCACTTGATAAATTTATGAATTGTTTTAAAAAGATATTACATAGTATTCAACTAGTTCTATCCTTTTTTCGAAGAAGTACTAAGGAACCCTATTATTCTACATTTTACTGCAAGGAAAGATTCAGTGAGTGAGATTAGTTACAAAGTAACTAATCTCACTCACTGAATAAAATCATTATATAAGAAATTAGGAGTATTTTCCTTCTTTGCGCGCTGTAAGAATGCTATTCTTTCATAAAATTCAATCGTTTAAGGAATAAGCGTTTTCGCAGTAACGAATATTTACGGAAAAAGTACAAAGTACTCGATGTTGCATCTTACGACCTTTCAAAAGAAAAGTAATGAATCAGAAACAGAATCAGAAACAGTAAACCAAAGAAAGTTGTGGAACTGCATTTTACTCGAAATTTAGTTCGTGATTTATCCATGTGAAAAGGAATTCAGAAAAGATAGTTGAATTCTATTTTTATTGCAAATAATGAATCCCTTTGAAATAATCAAATTTTTTCTCTTCTCATTTATTATCAAATTTCTTTACTTTTTGATAAGTTTTTAATTTGTAAAAAGACGAACAACAATTAACTGTTTGTCACTTGTGCCCTCATTAACCTTTGTACAAAGTTGTAAAAGTTTTAGATAGATTTAATTGATGAAGATATGAAATTTTGTGAAAATCTTAGTAATGTGTCAGTGATGAATAATATTTCTATGATTTTGGAAAAGTGGAAGAGTAATATCAAATAAGGAAAGAAGTATTTATAAAGCAAACCTCATGCAAAGAATGATTGTCATTCCTAAGAATAAACCCCTTAAATTGGTTATTCACAACATAAAAATACCTGACAACCGTTTCTTTCCGTCACCACAGCGCAATCAAGACCAGTACACAGCATTGGTGGGCAATTGTCAACAATTAGTTTACCCAAATCAGCAATTACTGCTTTCTGATTCCCTGAAGTAGATTATCTTTGCTTTTTTCTCTAGCTCAAATTCAACTGAACTTTGATTTCCTTAAGTGATTCAAAAAACTCTCCCAATAGCCAAAAAACAATTTTGCGACTCTTAGCAGATGAGTAGTTTTTATGTGTTGTTAACATAGAACGAAATTTTGTAACAAAAAAAACTTCCTAATGGAGAAAGCAAAGTTTTACACAAAATGAATATTTTTGATATAATGTAATACTGAATTCTTCAAAATTAGAAAAACCTTTTAACCCTAAATCTGATTGCACATTAGTTAAATGAGTTAATATGCATCTGACAAGATGTTGAAATGAGAAAATTTTTAATAAATTCTTAATGACTAAAATAAATTACTTTGATCACCTTCATATATTTTACTTATTTCAATTTACATTTATCATTCGTTTAGGAAAGGTTAGAAGAATGATTAAACAGCATAAATATTGTAATAGGACATGTTCCAGTGTACAATTTCTGAACTGGTTGGATTGAAATTTTGATAAAATTCATTACCGATGCGGCAGTGAGCATTGTTATAATTTCAAAAATTTAACATTTTATTTTAAAATTGGGTTAATCATGGAGAATTTGATGTTTACTTTTAATGGGGTTTTTTGACCAGTAACAATTAAGTTTATATTTTTCTTCGTCAGTACAATTAGAACGCCAGTTGTCATATAACCAAATCAGTACGGAGAGATTGTTAGTTCATTGTTGAGTGAATTCATTCTAAGGATATGTACGACTGTGGTTTATTTTGTATACATTAAGATATTTCTGAATGGGAGACAAATTCTGATAAAAAGATTTAGCCTCAAATTCTGATGGAAAATTGAAATTAACTGTATCATCAAAATTTCTTCAAAGCTACATTGCTGTGAAGAAGTTGAGGAAGTGAGGAATTGTTGCGATATGACACCAAATTGTGTAACTCTCTAACGGAGACAAAGTGAATGTAATTGTTTTTACTTTGATGTACCGTTACATTTCAATTTGGTTAATCTGCGATATAAATACAAATTATTGAATTTCTTCGTTATACAATTATAATTCGAATTAAAGTTATGTTGCAAACAAGAGAAATAGAAACTAGTAACCATGCAATTAGTATTACTGCTTATTTATTAACTCTTGGACTTATAATCGGAAATTTTTGTTCCAAAACTTACTTTGTGATTGAAGAGCGAAGGTCATCACAACAAGGAATAGAAGCGCTTGCAAGATAAGCAATTGCATTGATGAAGTGACCATCTGCTATAAAAAGCAACACTTCCTATTATTTTATTATAGAAAAATGAACTGACAAAAATTACAATACAGTGTTCAATAAAATGTCAGGAAAATTGTCGAAAACCACTCCAGTAACGATAGCGAGAATGCAGTAATTCAAAACAGTGGGCACTAATCGAAGATCTACGAAATATTCTTCAAAATATGAAAAAGAAAAACAGCATTTTATTAAAATCTGGAATCTGGTTACGGCTATATTCTTATCATTTTCATGCATGAGTAGTACATATATGAGAGTTTATTCTAAATATTGAACAATAATATTTCAGAAATTTTTATCGAAGCTACCTGAGTGTAACAATGTGTGACAAAGAAATTGGTAATAATACTGTGACACTAAGAATTCCAAAAACGAAAAAAAAAATTTTTTCCATTCTTTTTGGAAAAGAATTATCATTGGAAAAAATTCTTCCAAACAATATTTGAATTGTTGAAAAAAGTTTCAGCAGTCAATTTTATTTTATTTTTTTCTTTATTTTCGATTTTGGAAGAATATCCATCTATTTGTAAAAGGGTAATTCTTGAACGGGTACAGAAAGAACGGCAACGGCAAGCGGTTACGATGATTGTGCGCCGTTGGGCAACAAATGGTACAGCAATTCCAACAAAAATTAGTATGCAATTGGGGTAAAATTTGAAATTGTCGAGAGGTGACAAATAGAAACGTCTTCAGAGATGCATGTATATGTCTGTTTCGTTCCCATCCTTCCCATCATCTAATGCAAACAAGTTTTGGAAACCAACCCTGCCCTCTCTTCCTTTTCCTGTACACGGCAGTAGTTTCTACCTTCTGGTTTTGTGGTATTTATCCGGCTAAGAAACATATAGTTAGGACCACTTTTGTTCCTACAATGTTCTTGCCAAACTAATACCTTTCCTTTTGTTAGACTAATGAACGATAAATCACAAGTATATCCAAAATTTCCACCTTAACAGTGCAGGGTGTCTCATCAATGACTGGTATACTGTATCCGGCAATTGTTGTGCTCTTCCAATGTAGCGCGTTAAATAATCATTTCTTGAAAGATACAGTCTTGAAAAATACAAAGTACAGTGCGAATACTTCTAAATGCAGTGGAATTCATTCTAATCAAAGATTAACTTCTAATGACAAATTTCTTCTAAAGTATATATTACTACATATTAATAAGCGCTGACTGGTAATCCTGATACGGTGATACGGTCATAACATGCTATCATATCTTTTACCAACGAAAATATCTATCCCAAGTTGTTTAGTGGAGAAACAATCTGTTTCGGCTATTAAGTTACATTATTTATATAATATAATATCGCTTAGATTTGGTACAAATTTCTTTTCCATTATTTCCATTACTATGCAACAACCTCTCAGAATATGCATAATTTAGTGATAAATAAATGATGCAGTGTGCATCAATTAATGGTCGATAAAGAGAAAGGCTTCTCAAATATGTTATGTATGTTCATTTCGATGACAACTTTCGTCCTTTGTTATTGAAAGCACACATGACTGTGACAGTATAGTTTTCTCAGATGGACTCCATCTTAAATACAAATTGTTTACGGTTTCACGGATAAAAATAATAAAATTACAGAATAGCAAGGAAGGAAGTGCTGATACGGTAAATTCAGTTGGAACAATAAGATATTAAGAGTAACGTATTTTCGAGAAAGCAACACGTCACCATGTATTTGTTTAAATCCTCGATGTGCAAACTGATATGAAAATCATGTACGACCAATGTACATAACGAAGCATTTACTGAATCGTTTTTGAAGTTTTGTTGTATTCCAGCCTTTCTCATTTATTAATAGTTACTATCAGTGCAGACAGTCACCACATCACTACAAGAAGTTAAATACTTCCATCTTACATCACTATGATCATCAAGCAAATATAAAAAAAATCTTCCTCTTATCTTGCCCATCTATCAAATATGAAGTTTCCTTAAAACCAGTTTACGAATAATAAACGGTTTAAAATTGAAACTAACAACTGGGCAAATTTCAAACCAAAATAAGATACCACGCAATCACTAGAAGCTGAAAAAAAACCAATTTTTAGAAAATTAACTATGATTTTGAAGTTTGTAATCCACTGGCACAATGACGATGAACTTCCCATGTCTAAAATAGGAAGACCAGTAACCTCAAAAATTAATAAACCATCAGAAGATGTTCCTACAATTTGGATCCTCACTTTCTTCTCAAAAAATATGCAACACCAATTGATGTCCAATTTATCAACGACAAACTGAAGGTATCAATCAAACTATAACTTATGATACACACGATTACAGTTTATACAAAGATCAAAGATTTTCAAATTTCAAATTTTCCTTCTCCGGCTACCTTAGAAAATGGGACTGTTTTTGTAATAAATACATGTTAAACAAATGTAGCTCTGCCAAAAAAAAAATTAAGCACCAGTAACCTAATCAGATAAACTGCATATAATTTAATTACAAAAGGCATGAATTAATATGTAAATGGCAGGAATTAAAAACGGTGTTAATAAGATGTCACAACAATTATGTCAGCAAAAAACCATTAAAACAAAATCGTTTTTCAAACACAATCTCAGCCGAGAGAGTGATTAGTTATGTGCCAGCAGAATGATGTGAATAGAAAAAGTGCAACTATTAAGCAAAAGATACAGGATTCAGCAAAAGTAATCACAGTCTGCGGAAAGTAAATAATGAAATGTGAAAAAATGGCAACTAATGTCCTATAAAAAAAACATAAAAAGGTGCAAAGATGGATTCATTGACCTCGTTAAAATGACGAAGTGATATATAGTGAAAACTGAAAATAATAGTAAGAAACAGTATGGACTTATGGATCTGTAATTTTAAAACAAAGTATGAATTAAATTAAAATTGGAATCATACAGAAAATTTTACCAAAAATACATACGATAAAATAACAACAGTAAAGTGAAAATAACCAGTTCCAATGACAACATTTTGATTTTCCCCAAATCATTTCTCAAATGACTTCGAAACCATACAAATTGCTTCGAACATATCATAAAATTTGCGACAGAGAATCTTTCTGAAAATATAAGATAAAGGCATACTTCGAGCATATCAAATCCACATCTATCGGCGCAACAACATCATCGTCGAAGAGTAACCATTGTTTAGTGATTTGGTTACGAACCACTGCTGTATAATGTCCGCTATTCAAACTCCCTCTGTGGTTCTGAAAATTCACACCATTAAGCATTAAAAGTGTAGCAATTTTAAGACATTTACAACACATAATTTTGGGAATGACTGGAAAAATAATGATGAATTCGAAGTTTTCTAAAAAGCACTTGAACCAATACAATAATAGTTAATGAAAGTGAAGCTGAACAAACCTCCATTTAGGAAGCCAACTTTTAATCAATACTAAATTACTTTTGATATTGTACGTAGGCCTTTATATTTTCCAGTTAATAAGGAATATTTTTTATTGGGTTTTAACCTAAGTTTTGTAAACGATGTTCACACATGCCAGTTAATCGTGATGATAGGGATGAATAGATCAATCTTTTTTAATCAGTGTTAATTTGTAATGCAAAAATAAAATTTCGAAAAGATCAGAATTCTGGAACCTATGACATCAAAGAAATATTAAATTTTGGCATGGTAAAACGAAGATAATGAAAAATTAATAAAGTTGTTAACCAAAAATTAGTAAGTTATGTGATAAATACGAAACAAAATTATGATTTTATTGCAAAAATTTTTCCACTAAAAAATAAAATATATTATTTAAGAGAAAAGAAAAAGTAAAAAGTTTGCTAGCAAAACGGAAATATACAACTTACGACAACAGCATATAAGCTGAAATATTCAGATTGTAGCTTTAGTGGAAACGTGTTAAAAGTTACGTAAGCATCGTTTTTCTGCCAGTTATCTCCCATAAAAGTGAAACGTTTCAAGTGTATGACCTAAAACTAAGAATTCAAAATATGAAAATAGAATTCAGAAACAAACTGAAATATGAAAATATAGATGTGAAGATAAGTACATATTGTTGAATCTTCCAATTGGCGTTATTTCTAATTCTTAAACTACTTCAAATTATTCATAATTCTGGTAATGAATATGAATAAAGCAAAACACAATAAGAGCACTATACCGAAACTACTGCTAAAATTCCTATAAGTCCAGTAAAGCCATGAAGTAAGAGAAAAACAAAGGACCAGAACTTCAGGTAGCTTCCACAGAAACGTTCTACGAGTTGCAGTCTGTAAAGACTCACAATCAGGGCAACGCCATTTGCATGAACCATCAAGTTCCTATAAACAACTGAACAGATATAATAATTATTTTAAAATATCAAATAAGAAATAAATCAGATCTCGAACTATACTTCTGAAGAAAAGCGAACCACATCTTGAAAATGATTCCGTATACAATCTTCAATTGTTGAATTCCGATTTGGTACTTCTATTGACAACTGAGCCAATTCTTCGAAAGTGACGCTTTGTCGCTTGCACTTATTGCATTGCAAACTTGATACTGTTTGACACTAAGAACATTTATTTGACAGGAAAGATTTGAGCTCATTTAATGAATAGTGTTTGCCATTAATTTCCATAATGGTCACCGTTATGATTAAGCGAAATATTCGTTCCCTCATAATGAATTACTTAGAAAAGTTTAGAGAATTTAGCCAAAATTCCCAGGGTAAAAAGCCCTTTTATCATGCTACAGCATAAAGTTATGAAACGAACACACTAATTTTACGTCTGCAGAAATTCAGTACTGTGCAGTGCTTGTGCACCGCACACAAAATGAATACTTACAACATCAGCAAGATTGTCTTAATCGTGCTACCAAAATAAAAATTGAAATAAGGCTAAAAAACAGTGCCGAAAGCGAACTAAAAACGTTGTTAATTATACAGAAAAAATTACTAACATTAAAAATGTCACTGATCGGTGAACAGGCAAATCCCCTTAACTTTTCATTATAATCAGCTGCTTCTGCTTTCAAATTTGCTCCAGTATAATTCTGCTCAAATGTTTTGCGTTTCATTACCTACAATAAATAATAAGATTTCTATATTAAATTATTTAAATGCCTACAGGATTCCAATGGAAAGAGACTACTGGAAATTACCCGATTTGTATCTTCATGCAATGCATCAAGTAAATAAATTTGAAATTCTTGTGCATCATGTTGCTGACCATCCGCCAAAGAAGCATTCACTTCAGCAGCAAATGTTTCCTTAAAAAGAAACAAAACGGTAAAACAAAACGGGATGCAGTGAAGAATGGTTTTTTTGTCCACAGATAAAAGATGTTAAAAATACAAGAAATTGTTGAGGACGAAGAGCACTGAACAATCCACTCCAAACAGAATCCATCATTGCCGAGAATACAGACGATATTATACCCATTGTACCCATTTTGTTTGTCCTAAAAAATCCTTCGCTTTTTCTTCAAATATCGAATCACAGATGAAAATTTTTTATCATGATATGTTATGGCCAATAGAACAGAACACAGCTACTAGATGTTTAAAAAATGCCTGTTAACAAATTTGAAAAATTCGTTTTTGGTGAAAATACGTCGCAGTGGAATTGTATTGAACAAAGTTTGTAACACGGAATTCATGAAGCATGTATTACCCAAATTGTACAAACCAGTGTATCCGGGATTCTGAATGAGAAAAATTCAAAGATATGTACAGAAAGACATTTTCAAAAAAACCAAAAAAAAAAATTCAGGGAAGTAAGCGCAAGGAAATGAAAGTTTACACAGCTTCGAGAAAGCGCACAGAGGCTGAGAATATTCGTCATAGATTCATATAAATGTAAAAGCTGGTGCGAGCCATCGCTGAAAAGCTCATGATTTTATTCAGACAGCTGTAAGATTATCCAAAAGCTCATTTATTATAATTTAAAATCTAATGGCTAGATTAGCAGCAACATAATGAAACATGCAGTAGATCATAATCTAACTACCCCACACATGCTATTTTAATAAAATCAGTATAAATAAATCCTATATATACCTTGGACATAACTGTGGTTTCAGTAACCTGTCCGGTACAGTTGGGATATTCACTGCAGTTTGTTTTGAGCTAAAATAATATTGGAAGATAAACAATATAGATCGAAAAATATGAATTCAGAATAAAAAGAATAAAAAGTAACTAGCCTTGCACCGTATAATTTTGCACCACCAAACATCGTTGGAGTCGATTTAAGTGAAAAAGACTTTTCAGAAGAGGCTTTTTCTTTAAAAGTAGATAACTAAAACAATATTACCAAGTAATCCAGCAAATAAAAATGGAAACATGATCGGAATACTCTATTAAAACAGACGTGAAAAATTAGTAGGAGTTACAATTTTCTAAATAAAAAACTACGGTAAGGATAGTAAATAGTTAAGGAAGGAAAATAGCAAACAAAATAGAGTATGAATAACTCAAACAAAGAATATCTCAATATATGGACGAAGTTAATGCAATTAAACCTTGATATTATGGATTCTAGCATTCACTATGTGCTATGGTTCAAAAACAAAGTACTATTTTTTTTTGTAATGACAATATATTTTATACAGACCTCTGAAAGTGGTTTCTTGCTTCGGTCAATTACAGGGAGTTGACGAGATTGAAGTGCACAAACATCAACCTGCGAATTAGAATTTCTAGTCACATTTCGGGAGATTGGAGGAACTGTAACGTCTGTAACGTTTGAATTCCTCATAGCTGATGATTCATTTGCTGTATCTGCATCTATCCTAACATCAAGCAATTCATTTTTCGGTGGCAGCACTAAGCCCAAGGATGATGATTCATCAGGAACGTCTGCAAGATCACATAGAAGTCCTTTTCAAATAGGTAAAATTGCATTCACCAAAAAGTTACAGCAAAATTAAGAGAACATCAAATTCCTGAAACAACAGTTTTCAGATTACGGATATTTTTCAAGTTTGAAAATTTCAAATCATCAATAATAAAAATAACTGACAGAAAACAAGTATACCTGAAGTTTCTATCAACATTGAGGAATAAGACGAAGATTGTCCCATATGATGCACGATACTATCTGAAGCACTCGAGTAAGGCATTGATAATCCACTTGCTTTAGAGTAAACCATTGGTAGTAATTGAGGATATTCTAAGGAATCAATCCCAAAACCTAAAGAAATTTATACGGCGTATTTTTGGCTTATTACCCAAATCTGAATTAATTAAATTTGTTATGCTATAATGAAATTAAAACACTGCTGCTTAGTCTAATAAAGAAATGTCACATGTTCTGGAAGGAAAACAAGAATATGTAAGTTCATTTCGTGAACGACTTGGCGGAATTACATCGAATGCAACTTGATGTGAGCCAACTTGAAGTGATCATCGAGTTGATAAACTACCACAAGCGCAGATATCAGCGAGTGATATGCAAAAATTTGCAAGCTAACTGTATAATGTCTTCAGGAGGAAAGGCATAATCCGACACAGAAGATGAGTGGAGTGCATGTCTGCTCAAATCAGCTCGTTAGTGAAAATGATTACTGATGCTACCTGCATGACTAGAAAAGCAAACAAAAGCTTTAGAAAGTTGATACGCTGTTTGAGTGATCATATAACTGATAAAATACAAAATATTCAGCAGGGAAAACAACTCGAACAAAAAAAAAAAAACCTTTTTTATATTCAGCAACTGCTCTAGCGAATTCAGTACGATTTGCAATATCCACAAATTTCCTTCGCATCGCAAATTTTGTGGTTGTATGCATTGGATAATATAAACGCCAATTTTCAAAACCACCTTTCAAAAATTTTGGTAGATTTTTCAACCGAAAGTTATTGTTATACTGCAATTAAAATTTAACTTGACATAATTATTCTATCACTCGCTGCTAAGCAATTTTCTTCCCTTGCTTTGCAAACTAACTTGTTGCTTATTTCTAGAAGACTAGAAAAGGAAAACCATTGATAATGCGCTATAGAGTATTTGTTCCTTTGATCCAGCAATCATATCTTTTTCCTCATTTGGAGCATTGCCACTTCCCATAAGCACAACCACATCTACATCTGCCATTCGCTGAAGAATAGCTCTTTGAGCAATCTCAGCCGAGCGAATCAGTGAAGAACCAATACAACTATAATGTGGCAGTGTTCAAGTAAAAAAACCGAATACTGAATATATTAGAAAAATGTGAAAAAAAAAAACAAAACAAAACAAAACTAAGTAAATAACAACAAAGAATTGATCAATGTATGAGCAGCAACTACTTATCTCAACAAGGAATCACCTTTTTAACTAAAAATAGGAAACAGCATTAACTTTCGTTACTTAAATACTCCTACTGTTAATTTAAAATGATTCCTTGCTAAGACAAATGCAACCAGAAAGATATTACTGACAAAGGTAACTATGAAGACATAAGCTATAATAGAATTAGTAGGAAAGATTTACACGACTCTGATTCTATAAAGAGACTACTTTAATACGTGGTTGGTATTTACAAAATTCAAGTACTGACTAAACTTTTAGTCATAAACGAGTAGATTATCGATATTTTATTGATGTTTTGGCTTTTCTTACTTTAATGCTTCGAATTAAATCCATTGTCTTCAGATTGTTTGTTAAATGTAATAATTCAGTAGTTCTGCATTAGATAAAAAATTAGATCCGATATCCTTTTGCGATCTTTAAGATCATATTCAAAATGTAGTTTCGAAGTGAAGATATGTGAAAAGAGGAAGTGAACCAAAAAAACCTGGAGTTCAATTCCAGTCAAGTCACACAAAAGTATTCTGGGAAAAACGTGTAAAGGTTAATGAACCAACCCAGGGACGACAGCATCGGCAGGAACCTGTGCAACCAATAACTGCCCAGCGTTTGCATATTGGATGACATCTGTCTGGTCCTTTCGATAATCAATGATAAGCGCTCGATGTTTACAAGCAATATACCGTACCAGGTCACGTGGATCTATTACCATCGATTCCTCTTAAACATATATCCTTATCAAAAACACCAATCAGATACCACTCAATGAAATATTTTCTAACATTCAAAAAATTTAAATGCATTTCTACAAGCCCCAATTCGAAGGAAGTCCGGCATTACCAACTGTCAAATCTGGATATGCTCATAGCAAATCTCTGAAGGCATATTCCATTTGATATGCCTGGTGCGAAGCTTAAAAGTTCACTGCATAATTTTTACTGTAATGTGATATGGCTTATGACAGTAAAGAAATTTTTCCAACACTAATTTAATTTTTTCATATTATTATGGAAATATCTGCGCAAAATATGACATTATAAACAATTAAAATTACTCATGAAATAATCTTTGTCTTCCGGTGTTTCTTCACTCTGCAAAACTGATAAGTCCTGCTCATCATAACTTTTCTCAGCTTTCTTCAACTCATACCGTTTCTTTAAACTTTCTTCCAGTTCTTTCAGATAAGCAATACACTGGTCAAACAAGTAGTAAAAACGTCGACCATCCTAAAAACAGACTTAGCAGCAAGAATTCCACACATTAACGAGAAGCATTTTTCCTCATTTTCAAACCATGTAACAAAAAATGCTAATACAAATTCTGAGAAAGGATAGTTAGCAGTCTGATAAAATAAGATTATTTTTTATCCTACCAGAAGTACCCGCTTTATCATTACCGGTGAATTTTTGAATTCTTGAAAGTCGCTCTTGGTAATAATTATTTTTGAGATAATGCCCATTCGTGTGAACAGCTTGTATGCATCTTCCTCATCTCCCTCCCGCATTTTCAGCTTTGCTTCATCGAAAACCCGTTCTGCATGGTCGAATGCTCTATAAAAGACTTCATACGCTCTTTCATTATTTGTTTTTTTGCTTGTCCAACTACGACGAGGAGGACAACAAAGAATAAATTAAAGTGGTCTACTTGGTGGAAACGAGTCGTGAAATCGCTTGCTCCCACTTCTGCTTATGGGTTACATCACACCATGATTTCAAATGTTCCAAACTACTGAAACGTAAATCAGCAAGGTGAATTAATGTGGGACGATTCAGAACCATCCTGCAAAGAGAACGTTCACAATTTCGAAAAATACTAACATTGACATTCACCAATTAATTAGCAAACAGTCAAAATTCAAAATCTCATCAGGCAGAGAATAGTGACACCAACATTAAACAGGTGAAAATAGGTGAATACACCATTTCTCCATTACAGTTACACATCACACATCTACTTGACTAAATATAACCACTCCTTTTCTCACTTAAATATATCCGGCAACATTCAAACCATTCATTGGAACTCGTCGTCGTTGCACAAAGACTCACGTGTCGCAAACCTCTTATTATGCTGGCTTGTTAAAATATTGTTGTTGAGTGGTTCTTGTTTATCACTGGTGCTACCCCACTATGCAATTTATGATCTTGGTGGTCACATTTAATGTCTATCGGTCTGTTATGTTATGACCGTTATTTGGTTTGGTCAGTCTGCGGTCACTTTCATATATTTTGTGGTGCTAGTCACTGTAAAGTGGTATTTTTGAACGGGCTGGTAGTCCTGTTAGTTTTGAGTTTTAAAGGGTTTGGTAGTATTTGGTAGTCGTGTTTGGAGAAATGGTGATGAGTAGCATATTCGTTGAAAGGCTTAAAAGAATGGCAGTACTTCATCGACATTTTAACTTCTTTAACGCAAACTTCAGTTCGGAGGACCTTATGAAGTCTGTTCTTTCTTGCTGTCGTCGTTATTCCCAGCTTTGTTCTATCTTAAAGCATGCCTTATTTAATGACAACGTCTGTAATTTATTTTGATGCGTTCTTTAATTTCATAATATTATAGTACCTGTAAATGAATGTTTTCACGTAGGTTTAAGATCATCTCTATGTAATTAGTAGTGTTACTAATTAGTAGTGTATTTTGGGAGATCTGTGGAAGAGACACAGAATACTTTTATACCAAACATGACCATCTATACAATATTCACATAACTTGGCTCAGTGTAGCAATTAACGCCACATCGAGTATATTACTGCATGTGTTTCCACTAGGTGCGACTAAAATTTGAATTTCATAATAAATTCCAAAATTTGCATATTTATGTAGATGTTTTCATTCCTAAACCGTTCTAAAGTATATATGAGTGGTGGGAAATCGTGTTCTTCATTGCCTATTGTTTCCACGCTGTACTTCGTCTTATTCGAGAAGATATTGCTGTTTGTGAGTTATAATTTGTACAGTAAGAGTTTAAGAGTTATGAAGAGTAACATTGCTGTTATGTTTTGCTTTGAAAATTCTTATATATTGCGAGGTTTCATGAATTTTGGGTACTGATAATATGCCTATATCGAAATCGGAAATTACTAAGCAAGAGTCAACCAACGACAAGGAGAATCCGTTGGAAACAACCGAAGAAGCTGTCCAGTCTAACGATAATGAAGATGAAACAAGTCATGCTGAGGCTAGTTTTCATTAAGTTCTTTCTTATGTAAGTAAATATGCATTAAATTTGCTTTGGAAAATTTGTCCGATCTCTTCTCAGGAACATTTCGGTTGGTGGAATTGAACGAACACTGTTTTTATGATTTCGTCTAACGTTTATGAAGTGATAACTTTCAAGTACAAGAAAAAGGTGGTATAAATTCGAAGATACCGGTGACTTATAGCGATCTGTGTGACTGTAACAAAGTAGCTTTCACAAAGAAAAGGGATCTACAATGCAATAAATCGTTTGAAAATGTTGATTGAGAATATTTTATTGCAATAGATATTTCGAAAGAAACAAGTTTTCCATATTTTTCGCATGGCAGTTGATAGGCATGAAAATGTAATCTAGTGGCTAAAAGAATTAATGGTGATTAGGTTATTTGTTGACAATATTTGTATCTTCTCATCATAATTAAATCTTTCTAGCACATTTGACGTTGTCTTGTATAACTTCTTAAATGATAATGATTATAGCATTTTTTTATGGATGTTCCATTCATTCAAAGAAATGCTTCCAAAACATTCTTTTTTCAGCGGTCTGAGTTTGAAAATCTTTCTGCAGCAACTCCAGAATCACTTACACGTCATCCGTTGCAGTGCCGATGGGCTCTGTGGTATTTAAAAGCTGATCGAAACAAAGACTGGGAGGATTGTTTGAAACAAGTAGCCGTCTTTGACACTGTTGAAGATTTTTGGGCGTGAGTTATTTTTCAAATTCTCATTTCATTTTTCGCTGCTTTTCATTTCTAAAGCCGCCTTGCACCTATTTTGATATCGGAACTGCTGTAAATTTACTGTTAACATATTTATTTGCTTCCATTTCACAATTAAGTTTGAATCAATAATCCCTTCTTTTCAACTGAAACCGCACCAGAGGTTCAATTGAAAATTGCAACTTAGTGCAACTGCTTTGAAAATGGCTTTTGGTCATTACGTTAGTACTAACAGTTTTTACTAAAAATGGAAAAAAACTTGCGGATTTTAAATCCTTTCAGCTTGTATAATCACATCCAGACTGCTTCGGGTCTTAATTGGGGAAGCGACTACTATTTATTTAAAGAGGGTATTAAACCGATGTGGGAGGACGAAAATAATGTGAAGGGTGGTCGTTGGCTTGTTGTTGTTGACAAACAAAAACGAGCGCAATTATTGGACCATTACTGGCTTGAGCTACTGATGGCAATTATTGGGGAACAGTTTGAAGAACATGGCGAACATATTTGCGGTGCGGTTGTAAATGTTCGACAGAAGGGCGATAAGGTCAAGTTTTACTTATTTTGTATTTCATTATATGACGTTTTAGTTTTCTGGGGAATAAATAAAAGCTTTGTATGTCTTGCAAAAATATTGATTACTACAGAAGCTAAAATCCATCGATTTCTGCAGGTTTCACTATGGACACGTGACTCACTGAAGGATGATGTGAATTTGCGTATTGGGCAAATTTTAAAAGCAAAACTTGAAATCCCAGATTCGGAACCGATTCGTTATGAAGTTCATAAGGTAATTGAATGTTCACTCTGAGTTGTTACAAAAACTGATATGGATCTGCTTGCTTAAGAGATATCTGTATCTGACTTTTCAATAATGACTTTTTACAAATTTTGTCACCTCACCGTGATCACCATAATTGAATGAAACATTCGTATGACGGTTGGTTAGAGATTTGGCTGTCCAGTAGTGTATCTTCTATTTTCTGATAAAGCCTGCTTTTGTCTTCAGGACTCATCGGTGCGTACGGGTTCGATGGTAAAACCCCGTATTGTCATCCCAATGAAAGAAACGAGGTAAATGAGGATAAAGTTGTATTTGTACACATGTATCTTACCGGAGTTGATTGCTTTAGCTGATGTTTTTTTGGGTTTTGTTTTTTGTCTAATGTGATTTTTATCTGGTTTTAATAGTTGCTAAAAAAATCTAACAAATTTCCTTTCCACTGCAGTCATATTCAGAACATAAATTATTTGGATACATGCTTTGTCCTAGAATAATAACACATTCTGGATTTTTCGTTACTATTATGTACACATTACTATCGTAACAAATTTCGTTTCTCTTTTCGGCATACTTGTGCCTAATTTTTGGAACTGAAGTTTTTGTTTTAATTGAATTAATGACCAAGGCATTTTGGTAACACATAACTGTCGGACTATTGATCTACAGAATATCTTAAATACCTTCCCAGTCGGAAATTTCAGAATAATATGTATATGACTTTGCTCGCACAACCTTGAAGTCATTTCCAGTTGCTATTGGTTTCATTTCTCCAATGATGTTCTCTATATTATAAATATCTTGACGTCCTAATCGAAATATAAAATGGGGCTTAACTCGCATTATTTCAAAACAATTTATAAATTATTCGATACGCTTCAGCGTATGAAATTAAAGTGTTAAAAACTTGGGAGATGAGATTTTCTAAAGTGAGGTGACTCATAAAAACCAGATCGGTGGCAATTTCTGCTGCTCTCATGGAAATAAGAGAGATTAAGGCGAAGAAATGACAGGATTTCTTGGAGTGGTCTGCATCGATTTCCAAGCTGTCAGCAAATAAATTCAGGTTTGGAGGCTAATTGGGTTTCTCGGTGACTCATTTCTTCCAATTCTAGCTCCTGGAAATGTTTATTTCCTGTGAAGGTCGAAGGATATGAAATAAACTAAAATTAAGGGAGTCTTTAGCTTCATTTAGAATCAATAACATCAATTTATAAATTTCATTGGACTGTTTGTTTTCTTCAAAGAGAACATCTTGAAACGACGTAAATATTGAAATTTATGTGTTTTTGGGAAGATTTTCAAAGAAGAGACCTTTTCTGCATCTTTCTCAAGCTGTTCATATTGCTCTCCATGCCTTTTCATCAACTGTTCCTCATGTTTCTGAGCTCTTAAATGACAACAATTAAAAAACAAAATCCGTAAATAAGATCTGCTTCTCGAGCGACCATCTGGAATGTGAGATGCAAATAATCACTTACTTTATAGCCAGTCTTTTCCGTTCTTCGCAGAACACTTTCAAATTTTTTTCATTCATTTCTTTTATTCGTCGATCCCTTTCTGCTTTTGTTTTGATGTTTTTATCCTGTTGAAGAAAAAAAAAATGATATTATATATATATAAATGTATACTAGTGTGGTGAGGATAAGCTGATCAACCACGTGTCCAAACTGAAACCGAATGAAGTACCTGTTGTATAGCTCGAGCATCTTCCATACTCTTTTTTGTCTGGGCTTGCTTCAAATCCTTGTTTTCAGCTTCCAACTTCAGCTTTAACATATTCATTTGCTGTTTTTGAGCATCCTGAAGCAGTTTCCTGAAAGATGTTATTTTATGTGAAAATGAACAATATAGAACACATCACCCATGTTTTGTGGAACCGTAATGATTTGAAATAACCCACAGTACAATCACCAAGAATCCCACTCATTCAACATAACATATCGTGCATGAAGTAGTTAACAAGAACTGCCATGGATTCAGTCTCTGAGTGAGACGCACGATACTGTCTGTTAAACTTATGATCCTGAAATAATTGAGATTTTCGAAGATAATTAAGGTCATACTTCTAAGAAGTATGACCTTAATTATTTCAAACTTGATAACGTACTGAGATTGGCTTCTGTAGAAGATAAGCTAACAATCACCCTAGACATTCAAATTCTTCTTTTATTTGTGATCGCCTTAGATCGTGACATTCTCTTTCGTGCCTTCGCATCATCGACGACCATTCATCGGTTTGAGACAATATTAAGGACTTCATCTGAAAGACAACACTCCATATTAAACTGACGAAGATGGATTGAAGAAATCTATTTGCAAAAGGATTTGAGATAGATACTAGCGCAAAAGAAAGACAATACACTTGTTTCCTTTATGAAAATTAAGTACATTCCTAACAGTGTTAAAGGGGTTCTCAAGCTTCCTTCAAAGAATCAAATACATAAGAGATGAAGGCCATATCCTTCTTTGACTTGAACATGTCATATAGGAAACAAGCAGTACGAGGGACGAATAGCACAAGAAAGACAACACACTTTGTAATTATTAGTCATGTCAATATTGTGCGGTATTGGTTCCGACTTCATATATGACAGTGATTGATGTTTCTGACTTCCCGCACTGTTAGCCACTGTTCGCCATTTAGACTGCTTGTAACTGTCACAAATCAATTTGTCGACAGTCATTTGCTATAACTAGTGGAATGCATTAATAAAAGGAGTTAAATGCAAAATTCTAAATAAATATTCGAGCTTCACCAACTGGGAATGTTAATAAACACAATTCACTCAAAATTTCTTAACGATACCGTGTTATTAGTGATGTTATCAATGCGCAGTGCAAAATTGCAAAAGCAAACAGAAAGAATTATACTAGTTAATGTAAAATAAGCTGATGGTGATATGCACATTGTGTCATGGGTGTCAAGACGATTTCCCAGTGCACATCTTTCATTCTTGAGAGATTCAATTGCACTTCAGCAGTTCAAACAGTAAATAAGGCATAACAACAGAAATTTCCGAAAGCGTATTGTAGGAACGCAGTCTAATCCAAATAGAAAAACATACTAACTATTCAAACAGTCTTTGTACCGCACATACTATTTCAATGAATAATGTCGCTTACAGTAGTTATATTAACAAATCACAAGGTTTTTAGTCACGAAAGATTACGAATAATTTCGCGTCTTTCGATTAAAGTAATTCAATATTTCGACTTTACTAACGAAAAAGAAACAATGTGTTTAACAATTATGGTTCACAAGAACAAGTAGTTAGTTACCTGCTGCTTTTGAACTGATCCCCTCTGTTTTTGATGTCGTTTCTTCAGTTCGTTCATATCTTTTTGAAATTTCCGAACTAATTTTTGAAAACATTTATCTTTTTTTAAGTCGCCAATATTGATTGCTTCCATCTAAAAGCAATCTACGTTACTTTTGCATTCATTATGAGAAATGTTCTTAAAAATATATAAGTATGGTATTTCATACCACCCTGCAAGCTTTTTATAAACTTATAAATGCAGATCAATTAACTAGCATAACACTCAAACATTTTCCAGGTGAGATTCTGAATAAATTAAAGCAACATCTAATTTAATAAGCTGTAATTCTCACAGATCTACTTATTCATCTCTTAACCACTGGAAATTCCGATCAAACTTGAGCGAGAATTTTCTTTCCTCGAATAATACAACGATCTGATCAAAAGTAATACTAACTACGAACGTAACAGAAAATGACTTTTTTTGCCACCATCAACGAATGGCTACTCTTCTTGGTTTGAAAGCAATTTGATGCAATAAAAAAATTTGCTGTTACGCGGTTACGCAGTATGATATGTGATAATACATTTGCATTTGTAATGAAACGAAAATGAGTAATCATAATAGCTGATTCTTAAATAGATTGGAGTCTTGCATTTTATTGATACTCGAAGTTTCCGACTGCTGTGGTCACAAAGACCATAGGAGTAGAAGGAATTAGGAAAAATTATATTAGAAAGAGTATACTAACTATCTTAGTCATTCAAAAGGCTTTATAAAAAAATTTTTTTCAAATTGAATAATAAATAACTGCATGAATCTTACGCAATTCCTAACTGTTTTATCAATATCACAATTTCTTAAATAAAAATTAATAATTACATGCCATAAAATACAGTGAAGCAGTATAATTTTAACCATTTCAAAAAATACAACTACCTTCTGCTTGCCATCTGTAGCTTCCGTGTTCAAACGAGCTGAATCTTTCAATAATACCGTTGACTTCAAAGACCTACAAAAATCGCACATTTACAACTTTCATTTACTTGAGAATTGTCTAACCGAAAAGGAATAACGATTAAGGGAAGATTTTTTTTTCATAGTTAAGAATTTGGAAACAATAGAAGACAGCATAGCGAAGAATATAAAGACTGTCAATCATAATTCTAATATAATATAAGATGCGAAGCGAAAGAAACAAAATTTCAAAGCAAATCATTATAAATTATATAGTCTTAGTGCTAATATGTTAATTTCAGCTTATTTGCAAGTGTTCTACGTATGTGTCACTTCATATTGATTGTTTTTGATGATGGTGTCAAGATTTAGTACTTACTCGTAGTTTTGATCTAGTGGAGCTCCATTTATTCGCAACATATTCTTGTTTGATAGTGTCTTCAACGAACTTGATGTCACTTCTACTATATCCGAATCTTCAACGCCCATATTATATAAAGCTTCTGTTCGTTTTTCCTGTGCAGAAACATATGCGCGTGGGTCCGCCAATGCATCTACTAGGCCTGCAATTAGTGCAGAAAAATTGTAAATCAACAAGGTTTGCGGGAGAAATCGATAACAAATTGACTTTATTTGCTGTATGAATAAGCATAAGGAATTTATAAGCTTACCACTCAGTTCATCGGGAACATAAGTTTTGATTACGATTCGAACAAAAAGGCATGGCAATACCATAGGCATGTTTGATTCTGTACGAAGTGTTATATGTCGGTAACCTGCTTGTAAACCATCTAGCGGTAATATTCTCTGTCCAAGTTGTTTTCCATTTTCGTCATAAACAACAAGACGTAAAAGCGCTAGTTCCGGTAAGACAACCTGTAAACAAATAAGACAAAACGAATCCGATCATTACTTTTTACTTAATTTTAAACTCAATCGCAAACTGAATTCCCGCTAATATCTTTAATTTTTTACACACTTTAATTATGAAACCACCTTTCTAAACACAAAGGGGTCGCTATTGTATACAGGATTCAATCCATTAGCAGGCACAGTACGTGTTCGATGTTCTTTTCGTATCGTATCTGTTGGAAGACCATACATTTCTGCCTCTACGTAAGTTCCAACTTTTCTATCACATAAAAAATGGCCTGATATGATCTGAAGAAAAAAATCAAAATACATTGTCTTTTTCATAATATACTCCATAAAAAAGTACATTTCACATACATTTTTCGAAATTTTTGGATTATTAAACAACTGCAGATGACTGATAAAATATTGTATAGTTTTTCAAACCAATAACATGGATTCCCTGTACAGAACTTAGATACAAAAAAAGATAATGCAGAAGGCTAATACCTTCACAGTGCAGTGTGCTGCAATTACGCCATCAACGGGAGATTCAGAAAATGGATCAAATGATCTGTCAGGTCGTCTCATGAAATCAGGTTTTAAGAGATATCTAAAACTGGTTATAGAAAAGGTTTTGAAGAATTCGGTATGAATACAGCTGTACAGAAAATAATATGAATTCCCTGTACAGAACTTAAATAGATAAGCCGTTCTCAAACTATATCAAAATATGAATTAGCATATGAATTAGCCGGTTAAGCTAACACGGAATCGTTTCAGTGCTGCAGGAAAAACTTTTTTAAAATATCTTGACACGAATATATATGGATCTTTAAAAAAAGAAAAAAACATACCCACATCCACCGTTATACTGAAACTTCCCTTGATTGAGCTGCATAGATATATCAGGAGTTTGAAAATTTAATGCCACCATTTGGCAGCCAGCATTCCAAAATATCTGCAATTATAAATCGACTTAGTCTCAGAACAATTTTTGATTTCTCGTATTATGCTACAAAGTTACAAAGTTTTTTTTACAAAAACTACAAAGTTTTCAGTCCTAAATCAATGTTTCATGCAGAACTATCGACTTATTTAATACCTTGAAATATTGCAAAATATCTATTCACAAAAAATTGGCTGATTCGGAAGAATAATCTAGAATGTCATGCAACATATTTAAATAGGACTGTAAATGAAAATGTTCACCTGAGGCAAAAAATTGCTAGAATCGACGCGAGCGCCTTTTGGATATATTCTACATAATTGGCGCTTATTGTAATTAACGAATTCTGGAGCACTCTGCTTCAGATACCCCAAACCCGTACTTTCCGAGAATGAAGACATGTGGAAGTGCAGATTATTCGCTCAAAACGCATTGCAGTTAAGCAACATCAAACGAATGGATTCTAATTTTTTAACATCCTTCCCCATCCACTTATTTTATTAAATTATTAAAAATTTTGGATAAGCTTACAATCGAAGTAAAACTTTAGATAAAACCTTCAGCAACATCGAAACCAGAAAATTTCACTGGATGAGTATAATTAACGAGGCTTGACAACAGAGGATGTATATTGGTAGTTGCACCCGTATAATGATATTCCGCAAAAATGCGTTCCTCCTCTTCTTTTGTTAATTGTTGCTAAAATAAAGCAATAATAAAAAATAAAATAAAGTACCTATGATTTTACTATGTCTAAAATTCAAAATCATTTTCGTAATTAAAGAAGATTTTCAGAGTCTCTCTCTTAGAACATAATCACACCTAACATGTATAAAACATATAAATGTGTGTGTGAAACGACAAACAAGAAATAGGTGCAAATTTTTTAAAGGCTAACAAAACCTAAGACAGCACTTACTATACTACTGCACTTACTGGCCATAAGCTGGCCAATATATGCAAGGTTAATGATATGTGCAAGTGTAAGTATGTAAATGCAAGTCATTTCTACCAACACACTATTAAAATTACTCTTTCCTCTTGATGACACGTGTCGTCACAGCCTACTCTTGTCCTCGTAAACAACTGCAACACATTAATAACCGCAGCACTTTATTGAAATAATGAAGCACTACAGTTACAGATGCCTCAAAAACATATATACTTAGATTTCTCTCGAAACTATTTAAATATTTATCCTCTGGAAAATATTCACTTTATCCTAAAGCATGCAAATGAGTGACAAAAGGAACTGGAAGTGAATTAAAAATGTTGTATATTTTTTGCACATCTATTTCTTTTTCCATCGCTTGGAAGAACTCGAAACAATCCTTACTTCATGAATGCCCTCCTAAAGTATGGATGAAGCGTTATAGCTAGTACTTAGCATTTCCAAATGCAGTAAATCACCAGATTCATTCCACATTGCTCGTTATGATTAGTGATTAGTGGTTTAAGTCACGCGTGCAAAGTATTTCCTCACATTAAAACACATATACAATTCAAGCTGTAAAAACAATATAATTCCCCCAAGAATATTACTTTAAAAAAATGGATGCATTTCAAACAGAACAAATATCCTTTGATGAATAGCAACTACAGAATACAAAACTTATTACATTTCATGAAGACTTTCAACAGGACCCAAGCATATCAGAACCTTGGTTGTGCGGATTATAGGTTCTCGAGGCAGTAGCAATATAAGCCACCAACTAATTAAAATGAGACAACTTCAAAGTAAATACAAAGGCAAAAATCAAAAATGACAAAAGTGTCAATTTAACAAAGCTCATAGATACGAACTGTTTCAATCGTTCCACAAGTATGCTTGTGCAAAACTCGCTGAAAACAGAGGTGCAGATAGAGAAACGTTGTGCACATGCAGATATTAACGAAACTTCTCTATCTCATCTCTTTTTTATGCTTCAGTAAAACCCCGTGCCCGTGCTCGTCTTAAAGACGATTGGAAATTTTACACTTATATGAACATTGGCAGACGTAAAAAGCTGACCAAAGTTGCGACCAAATCAAAACCTATGGAAAAAGTATGATGTGCAACAACTTGGTAAAGCGTCTGCTCCACCTTACTCAGGCTAACGGATTATACATCGAATATTCTACATTCTTATCTTTACTTGGTCCTACATTAATTCCTAATATAAACTGCCTTTTTATTTTTCTGCCTTGTTGATAAATGACGTTGTGGCTGTGGATCCAGTAATGCGGCACTTAAACTCCCGCCACTGCCTTCACATTCTGCCACTCGTGAAGTTCGGCGAAACGATCGTTTGTTGCGGAATGATGATGATGCAAATATGGGTAGCGCCACATTTCCAACAATATGCGGCGGTGATTCACTTCCAGACTGTGTACACATAATAATTTTAAGAGCTTACGAACATTAAATTACAAGAAACTATTTGCCAAAAGCAAAAAAAAAAATTATTACACCTAATCAAATTTAAAGATATGTTGAAATGAAAAATTTTCTAATTGAAGACAAGTTCGACATTATCTCCTTGATCTATATAAATGCCTCCAAATATTTATGTAGACAGTATCCAAAAGTAGTAATATGACAACAGGAAAATGGCATTAAACGATCTCTAGCAATACCTAAATTTGAAGTGCGCAACAGTTCCAAAAACATTTTAAAAAAGCATCTCAGACTAGCTGAACTCAAACGATTTTTTTTTTCTAAAGAAAATTAGTACATCACCATCATCGCAAACCCATTCATTCTAAAGTCTTTAAAAACAAACGGTAATCAGAAATTTTAGAAATTATTCTTTGTTGTCCAACTTGAAAATTCTTTTACGCATTTTATTAAAAACGCAGGTGAACAAAACTTCACCATTCCATATAATTCAAAATGAAATTTAGAACTTGAAAGCAAATCAGTAGGTAAAAAATGGAATGTAAAGAATGCCTGAGGTTTCTTGGCAACAAGAGGTTTCAATTTTGATATGAAATTTGTTTGTTTGAATTCAGGATGTGCTTCATCTAAGTCTCTTAATAGCGCACCATCATCTGAAAATTTCTTGGAAGAGAAACAAAAAAAACTGATATTTAAAAATATGTTTTCTGACCAGTAAGCGAGTGATTATTAAAAGAACCATCAATTCAACAGCTTAGAATCCCTCTTTATTGAAGTTTATTGCATTATATATTGATCAAATATTAAAACTAATTTCATTTACTTTTTGAAAGGAAACAAAATTATACTTGCGTCTAATGTTGACGTTGAGTGTGCATCGCAAACTTCTACCTCCGGATGTGCTCTCTGGTCACTAACTGCTGCAAAAATATTGTCCTTTTATTCGAAATATGGAATTAAGTTTTTTACCACCTATTAGCTATGGATTATGCTTACTAAGTGCTGAAATTTCCTCGCCAACAGAAGCTTCTGGATTTTCGACCGGTTCATCTTCGCCATCTAATTTACCCTCGCGGAGAAACTGTTCCATTTGTAGTTTTTCAATATCTGCTTTCAATCGTTTATTTTTAATTAGTATTTTACGTTTCAAACGATTGGGTGATGGCAATGGTACTCCTGGTTCAAGCGGATAATCATCCAAAGGCTTTGACAGCAACATATCACCAAGTATATCCATACAATATTTTGCCATTTTGAGTTGATTTGATCTAGAGCAGTGATTTTCGAATGATAAAATCACTGGAAAATCAGACCTAGCAAAAGCAGTATCCCGAATTTGATACAGCACATCCTGAAGAAGTTCTGAATATATGTCCGATGATACTGCTTTCATTAAAAATTTCTGACTCAAATACATCAAGGAAAAGAAGAAATGAAAAAACCAGAAAAATCGTTTACACCCGTTTACCAATGCATTTAAAGATAACCCTACACAGTTTAAAAAAAAGTCTATAATAAAATCACAATATGGAAATGGCACAATCAATAGCTTACTTTGAAAAAAACATCTGTACACATTGCTTTGCCATGGGTGATAATTGGTTCACCCTTATTTTCCCCAGTACCATCCCAACAATCTAGTTCAATGCATCTGCAATGGCACGAAGAATGAAGAACTTCATATTATTAATTTGCCCAGTTGGAGTTATTTATTGCTCGCAAATACCATTTAGATCTGTTGAATCTTAGAAATGATGATTACCTACACCCCGACAATAAAACCTGACGATAAATTTCAGTCGAACTTTTTCCGCCATATTGCCTTCCAGTGAGATATGTATTGTGCGAACTGAAAAAAAGAACATTTTCTACTAATGAATTTTCCAACGAACAACTCATTGACATTAGCAAGTCTGTTACAATTAATAATTTAGTAGTTTCCATACTACTATGCAAAAATAACTAACAACATTATGTAAATATTTGCTATTTCTAATCTGATGAGAGCATTGAAAATGTCAGATTTTTATGTACCTATTAATATAATAGTGACACAGAGGTTGATCCATATCCTGATAAAGCTCGACTCGATCTAAAAATATTGGTGCATTTTCATCAGACATCAAAAACCGTAAGAAAGCATCGCCAGACATTTTCCCTGAAAAAAAGTTACAAACAACTAAATTCAATTTTCATACAATTTCAAAACGGTTTGTGAAAAAATTCTGATCCAATCATGACAAATTGCTTTAAAAATACCATTATTTATATAATTTTCATCACTTTCGTATTTTGATATTAAATTCAGCACTCTCTTATCATCAAAAAATGGGAACAATATTTCGTTCAGTCGAGGATCCCTCTGTTCTTCATTCAAGAAATTTATTAAACGATCTTTGGTAAGATATTCTTTTTGACCACTTCTGCAAAACAACTGCCAATCAGATGTCTCATGATACTGGCACAGTATAGAAGCAAAATAGCTTAGAAAACGCATATTTAACCTAAAATAATGTTATTGGTTAAACTACTCAAATATGAACGAATCTACAACAGCAATAAAAATAATACTGCATCAGTTCATGCTGGATCAGATATTCCAACAATTTTAACGCTAACTGCTACTTACAATTTTACGAATAATTCTTGCACATCACTTCGTGGACATATTTTATAATATAAGCGCAAATATTTGTCGAAAGTAAATAATTCCACATCAAGTTCATCATGTTCCTTAAAAACGAAGCAACAGAAATAAATGATTAATGTTATTAATTAAACTAATAATTTTATTAATTAAAAAACTGGCAAAATATCGCTAGATAGCAGAAGTATTAACAAATGATTCTTAGAAAAAGTATTTGCTTAAAACAAATTTTATTTTTTTGAAGTTCATCAAAATACATGCTTTATTGCCCGAAAGTCCGAGATCACTGAGACATTTCTGCACCATTCGATCTGTTTTACCACCGGAAAAGATTTTGACAATATTTCTTATGGGAATTTTTTGATGTTCATTCAAACAGAGACATAAATAGCGCCAACTGAAAGTACGCTATTTTAAAAACAAACAGAGAGATTTTAAAAAAATGCGAATTAAAAGCGTTAGTTATATATAAGCCAGTCAAAAAATCATAAATCTAAGTGTAAGTAATAAAACAAACAAACTTTTTCATCAAGCTTGTTGTATAAGAAATATGTCGCATTTTACTTGTTCTTAAAATTTCATTCAGACCATTTCGCCAGATCTAAAATTTCACAACATATAAAATGCTTGTAATGCTTGTACATAACTTCTGCACAACCTTCATTTCCTGGAGATGTCTTAAATACAACAGCTAGTTTATAAAAAATTACCGTAAAGGACTTTTATTAAATTTTATAAGAATAAAGATACAAGAATAAAATTATTTACCTTGGCAATTTCAATATCTTCTGCAACCAAATAGTAATTACTAACACTGACTAAATCAGGACCATATGTAAGCCAAATTGTTCTGTCTTCAATGGTTTCACGTGGTCCATGCTGCTCCAATTCAAACATTACCCGTCCATCTTTCGGTAATGTACCACGTCTTGCTTCCCAGACCTGTCATGCACATATTTTTCTAAGAAAGAATTTCAAGTACTAATGATATAAATATCTAGAATCAAGATGAAAACAACGAAAGTTCAGTACTTTCATTAAATATAATAAAATAATCAGAGAATTTTCGCTCTGGAATAAAACTTGAATTAAATAAGGCAAATATGCAAGTTACAAATAACTGACCAGGATAAGGTCGAGCACTGATGTATCTTTCTTTTCTTCTGATGTCCAGTACAAAAAAAATCCATACTCATCCACACGAAGAAATGTACTACATTCTAGACATATGCTTTCCTGCAACTTTCCATTTAAACCAAACATCTAAACAAAGATATACAGTAATCAGGTACTTGATGAATCTCCCATGAGTTTTGCAACAAAAATAATCCCACTATAGTGAAGAATATATCATATAGCAACTATTAAGCATCAAAAGTATGAAACTTTCTCGAAATTTTTTTGACAAAAAAGGATCAAAAATGATATAAATTTAACTCACATCATCATATTTATCGAATTCATAACCTTTCAGAAGAGCATCAGGGATGTTGGGCTTCCAACTGAACTGGTACTCTTTGGCCATTCTCGAGAAAGGCCTCACACGCCTCTCTCACATCACCCAATAACTTTCTAAACAAAACACCATTGCACAATCAAATTATTTTAAGATTCATGACGCATGCAAAAGCAATTTTTTCAATCAAACGAACGGATTTTGTCCAAGGAAAACATCGGCGAGTTATTGAAGAAGTGTATTCACAAAGCAGATACAATATTTCTTCCACAACAAGTTGGCAAGGACCTAGTGAAGATTCGTAAAGAGAAAACATTGTGTCAATCAGTCTATGCCAAAGATATAAATATAAAAAGAATGAGACAAGCCATAACTAATGGAGAATTCTAAAATACCATAGAACATAGAACGTCTTCAAATTGCAGCATCATCACCACAAGATTTTTGCTGATTTATGCAAGACGAAAAAATAAGAAAAGCGCAGCTTGGAGAAAGCAATGGTCTGCCGAATAATATAAAGTATAAAGTCGAAACGGCTTTCTTTATTGGCCATCATCTAAACCTTTAGGAAAAAGGAAAATATCTGGACGGGCAAACAAGCATACTTTCTATCGAGAAATTTTTGGGTGGTTTTCAATAACATTACGATGCATTGTTCGATGCAGAGATCGATGATGAAAGTGCAAATGATCAATTATAAAGGAAGCAATATTAATCAAGTTACCCTGTTTTAACAACTGTATAGTGATTGTAGAACAACTTAAATGGATATATGGACATAACCTAGAAATATTCACTAGTGGTTTATTTCCTGAATATTTTTGCGTATCAAGTTGTGCTGGACACACCGATGTCAGCCGTTATAGCATTCCACTTGACCTACTCATTAGTTTGCCAGTTAACAGTTCAACGTAGAAAACTATGACAAATAACAGCCTGCTTTTTATGATTGGTATTTCGAGGATCACTTTCCAGTGAATCGAGAGATCCCTATCTATCGTTGTTACTTTTTGATGAAGCTAATAACAACAGGACAAATGGCCTTATTACACAATGATTACTAATAACATAAGTGAGGAAGGAAGACGGCCAACAATGATCAATGAAACCACTTAGGAAGCTGTCACTCGATGTCAAATGACTTGAGAATAAAACAATCCCTTCTTTAAAAAAGATGATTCATGTAGGCTAGAAATGACTGAAACAATTCAGGAGAGATATTGCAAACAAAAATGAATTTTCGATGATTCCTAGCATATAGTTTTCAAGCAAAAAATCATATGGCTTCGAATGCTCTTTGTAACGATTCAAAAGGAAAGGTAGTAGCAAAAGATAACATATATCAGATTACATCAGTTCATAACACACCTTTCTATAACAGTACTAACATTTTTTGAACTAAAGAAATTCAATAAACTGAAGTAAGCAAATAAGGATTATATCATTATGCTAGATCTTCGTAATAATCTACATTCACTGCATGCAATAAGAAAGTCAATCATCCTTAAATTTATAATTGATCTTTTCATCTTGCACTTCTTTAATGTTTGTTTAGATGCATACAGAACTTGTAAGACACTTCTATTTCTTTTTAAACTTGTGATTAAATCATGAACTTTAATCCTGACAACAGAAATGAGCATGTAATCTGCAATATAAGGAGTATTTGAAGATGGAAGCATCCTTCAGAGAGCAATACAGTCAAGAAATTTTCAATCACGAAAGGAAATACTGAAACTAACCAGAAAAAAAAAATCGAACATTCCAATAGAACATTATTCAACATCTTGCACGATTTGATAAATGTCCTAATTCGATCCGTTTAGGAATTGAGTTATTACTCGAGCGTCTGATGATTACCTGGTGATGCGTATTCAAATCAAAATATGAAGTCTTCCAGTTCAATAAGCACACGCTCCTGGAAAACAAAATATCTTTTTGATTAATGCAATGAACTGAAGTGAAATGTTAACACACCATATCAGTAGAATTCTACAGCAGTTAAAGTCTAACGAAGTTGAGAACACTAAAAGATAAGAAAGCCCTCTATTACAGCTGGCATAGACCGTCCAGCAATAAATGATAACCATAGCATCAAAGTCTATTCCATTAGCGCTCCGCTCAGCTGATCAGCACTTATATGCGCTAGCAGATGAACATCAGTAAGTGTGAAGTTGAAATTGATTTCCGATAACGTCACTTAATCTGCATCATTACTTAACTTTATTATTCAAGCCCATTTGTCATTTAAGACAACACTACCCAGCGTTATTTACAACTACAATTCGTGTGCAAAAGAGAATTAACTTGGCATCACCAAATGGAATGCTAGAAGTAACATCAACTTTTTGGTTTGCATGGAACAAAAGATATAAAATACTTTACACTAGTTTCAATAACAGAAATAGGTCTGGTAAAACAGCTGCAGATAAATTTAAAAATATATGTTCAGGCATGCAGGAATGTTTTGGAATTTAAAATGCAAAATGATGTTAGCACCAATGGAGCATATACGCCTTCCAAGAGTAGAATCACTTATATATATATAAAGCTTAAATGGAATAACGGCGCAGAGATGTAAGAAAAAGCCAGAACATGTCATAGCTAATCATGAGCTGTAACTCAGTCAACTGAAGCATAGAACTACCTGCAATAATGGACGACAGATGCTCTAATGCCTTCGCATAAAACAGAATGAGACTTAGTAGTTCAGTGGCGCCACTTAGACTCAAGCTTGAAAATGAAGGAATAGATTAGAGTCTGGCAATTTGGAAAAGTTAAGAAGAACATGTAGCACGAAGAGTAATTGTTGAGGATGAGCTCAGTAGATGAATTAACAAGTTTTCAGCTTAGAGAGAAATGTCTGCGGTTATGGATAAAAAGAGAAAAACAGAACTGGCCAGCTAGACTGTGAGGGCTCAAGTTTAATAGAGATCTGAAATTGCGCCAGCATTACTGAGAGTACCAAATCGTAAAATGATAGAATTGGAGAAATAAGGAGCGTAGGTGTTGAAGGGTTAGTTGCAAGAATGGACTGTTCACTTCTAATATTGCTTCAAAACAAAAATTACGAAGATGGTTTCTCGAATAGAGAGAGAGAATGGTACACTGCGCAAAGAACCCTTCTTACCTCCATGCTTACCTATGCTATGTTTGCAATAAACCTCTCCGATACATCATACTAAATCCACATCCATCCTTAATTTCCTGCCATCTATTCCCTCTGCAAAATTGACACACAAAGACACCGTACGTAGTATATATCTGTTCCCCTCTCTAGTGTTTTATCCATTATGAAAAAAAGACAGAAATAAGTTCCGCCTTGAGAGAGAGAGAGAGGGAGAAACAAAAATCAATTGTCGTCAATAAGTGCTTCATATACTTTGAAAGCAGAAGCAGTCATTCATTCACGTCTGCACTTATTATGATTGTCATCTGTCAACATAAATACATGAAGATGGAAATATCCAGATCAAGCAATTGACAGAATCTTTATGTCCTCCAGATGCACACATGGCACATGTCGGCATGATTCCTCCTTCTCTCAACACTGAGTTTGAGTTTCCTAACAAATTCAAAGGCCCATTATTAATTGAACTTGGCTGTCCAACATGTCATTAGTAAATATGCTACATACTAACCACTGCCGATCCTTTTCCATAATGGTAGTGTCGCGGTTTCTCATTGTTCAATAATTAGGTCCTGTTTGCATCAAGCAAATACCAACCTTTCTTTCAACGTTTTGGAAGTCGAAATGACATTTTACGGGTGTTGTTAGTCTTCTTAGTCATATGATAGACGTCCTAATGTCCTTCATCCGTGCAACATGGCACATAGCTTTGTTAAGTCTTGAGCTAAGAATTTTACAGTTCCAACAATCTTTGTTGCAACCAAAAAGTCAGAAAAAAGAGATTGAATAAAAGGGAGGGAATGTGTTAAGAGTGAATACACTTTAGATCTATGTGGCAAACCTAATAGCCTAGTTGTGAACCTCCCTATTTAACTAATTTATGCAAACTTGAAACTTACTTTAATGGGGGGCGGGGGGGGAGGGGGGGGAAGGGTGGTGAAAAGATCATAGAAAAGATTTTATTTTCCACAACTGCGAAAACATAGTAAAATTCTACGAACTCTGAAGAGAGTGTTTATTCACTGCTTCCATAACTCCGGCCAAAAAATAAGTTTTAAGATTCATCCCAGCTAATGATAGAATGAACTATTGAAACAAGTTGTAGCTAATGGTAGACCATAAAAATAAAGTCATGCAAAAGAATATCAAATTACTAAGAGATGTATTCGCTTCCAAAGACACCATTTTCTTTCCCATCCCCTCTCATAAATGTACTAAGATTTAATACATGCTAAAATAAAAATATCATACGCACAAATCAAATGTCACATTCTTTGATTACAAATTTAATTTCCAATTTTGACAGGAGTTTTTATCAAAAGATATCCTACTCAAAGAGAGACATTAAATTTTTAAACATTTTTAATTCGAATTTAGGGAAAGAAATAAATGCAAAGTCTTAGTAAAAGTATCAAATCAAATATATTCTTATATCATCCAAATTTCATGTTGAACAGAATATATTTGCTTTGGTTCTTTATTTTCCGCATTTCAGATAAACTCCTAGAAACCAAAGTTATGAAATGAAAAGAATACAGCGATGAAAGATGAAACCTCTGCTTAAACCTAATTGCTCTGGAAAGGCTGACAAATTCATCGGAAAGAAGTAAGTGATGTGAAACTATCGTAGCACCACTTCTTCATTCCATACTACTAACAGTAAAACCACATAACAGTAAGTGCAAGATAATCTTGGTAAACATATAAGCATTTTTTATGACCTCTCAATGATTTATACAAACTAATATTTACAGAACCAGGTGACATTACTACATTTCCTTTGTTCCTTATTTTCATTCATAATTTGGTAAAGTCTTTTTTGAAATAATCTGTTTTGTTCTCCATGGAACCAGTCAACAACTTTACTTAGCTTTTTGTTCCATAACGTTACTTTACTTTTTTAGTAAATCTTTTATATGCGTCAAGTCTATCGCAAAAT